TTTAAAGTTTTCCAATTATACCATGGTTAGACCTAGGGTTTGCATGTACATAAAATCGAACGCTAGATAACCTAATACAAGACAAATACATGTAATCAATACACAATCACACTTGCACCCTCTAGGGTAATCCCACATGTTGCCTTCCAAAATGGGCCATGCTTGCACGTCGAGTATCTTTGGCAAAACAAATTCAAATGATCATAAGTCCCTCGATGACGCTTTCGACTGTTGCCTAAACGGAATGATCATAGTCCCTTCAAAGCAAATTGCCAAAGACACTTGGCACCATTGCATTCATGGTCCATAAGATGACCCGCGCCCGTCCCGAATAAACTTCCTAAACGCAAGATTGTCCACCAATTTCAATGGTGGAACAAAATTGTTAAAAAGGGTTAAAACATAACAAAAACCTTTGAGTACAATAGGGTAGACAAAACTCTTAGTTACTTGAGATCGACTTGCAAAAACACTTGTCTTCTTTTCAAAAACCACAATCCACAACACTTTCAAACAAACTCTCAAAACATTTTGAAACATCTTTTCGAAAAGATACACGCCTTTGTAAAATATTCGAGTAAAGAATTGTTACAAGGTTAGCCTAAGACAAGGCATCTTCTTCAAAAACATTTTCAAATACACACACGCACACACCATTTTCAAGCAATCGAAAATCAAGGCAAGTGATCTAAAAAACCAAGTAACTAAGAGCCCATGGATAACCATGGATGAAAAGGGTGCTAATACCTTCCCTTTTCATAATCTACCCCCCGAACCCACGAAATATCTCAAAAGGTTTTTGCTGTGCTTTTTTAACCTTTCCTTTAGGATAAAATAAAAAGTCGGTGGCGACTCTTGCTCAACCGCACAAGTGCGAATACGAACGCAAAACACTAGTCAGTTCTCCCACCGTATCACAGGCACTTTCCAAGGTTATCGTGTTTTCTTGACAGCTTCTCCATGACAGGATCCCCAATAAACAAAACTTGTTTAGGCGTAGAGTCATTGTAAATCTTGTAGGAATTTCTTGTATGTTTTGCGGAAGTCATGTTAAAATAATTGATCACTTATTTATCATTTGTGTCATTCCTATAAATATATGACGAAACGTATTTAGGTAATCAATGAGAGATATAAATATTTTGATATTTATTGTCACTAGTTTTGATGGCTATTGTTCCGCGGAATAAGGGTGTTAATTTGCATAATATTATGTTTGTTGTTAACTTAGATTCGTATTTAGGGAAAGAAATAATGTAGGGTTTGTGTTGATTGGATGGGGATCAAAGGTTTTTTTTTTTTGGTCTTCTAGAAAAAGCCTCAAGAACACCATTGTGTTCTTGAGTAGATTCATCTTTGTTCTTTTTTTTTTTTTGGGGTAAAGAATGTTGTTTGATCCATTTTTTAAGAAAGGTTTTTGATTTTGTGTTAGGCGTGGAGAGAATAGAGAGGACTGAGAAGTAAGAGAGAGAAAAAAGAAGGGAACAATGAGAGGAGAAAAAAGTTCTCTAGCTTTTATATATAGGGTTTTGGGACAGGTTTTGGCCTCCCTAGGCCCAACCGATTTCCTATCACCCACTTTCCATTTTTCTTAGCGCGCCTCTGGGTCTCTTGGCTTCAGTTGGCTTTGTTGGGCCAATGGACTTGGGCCTTGGAACGACTCACCTTTTAATTTCTTTCTGCACCCCTTTATTTTCTGTATTTGTTTTTTGGCTAAACTCATTTTTGTTTTACTCTTACCACACACATCACTTTTTCTTTCATTTTGTTAGTTAGATTACCTTTATTTAGGTTAACTAAATAAATAATAAAATTCATTAAAAGTATTTTCTTTAAAAATAATAAAAGATAATAAAAATTCTTGATCAACATCAAGTAATTTTTAACCCTTTATCAATTTAAAAAAAAATCATCTCATCAAGATTAGTCTAATAAAACCTTTTTCAAATAAAAGCAATCACAAATAAAATAAATTTTTTCAAACAAATGTGAATCAAACACCTGACCAACATCAAGTTCTTTTTCCTCGTAATCAAAAACATCAATTCGTTTTTCAAACTCAATGAAAATCATTTCAAAATTTTTCTATATCAAATAGTTGAAAAAGGATTAGTTTGGACGTAATATCCTCTCATTTCCTCGAATATTTGAATGATAGTCGTCCTTAGCTTGCTGTTCGAATACTTGTCTTTCGTTCAAAACATGATAATTAACTGAATTTAGTTTGATCTTTATTGAATGAAAAATGATTAGTTTGGACATAATATCCTCTATTTTCCCCGAGTATTTTAAATGCTAGTCGTACTTAATTTGTTGTTCGAATGTTTATCTTCCGTTAAAAACTTGTGACTTAATTTGCTTCACAAATTTTATAATCGATTTGGATGAAAAAGGATTAGCTTGGACGTAATATCCTCCCTTTTGCCTGAGTATTTTGAATGCTAGTCATACTTAACTTGTTGTTCAAATACTCGTTATCCGCCTAAAAACAATCCAATCAATCAAACCATCTTTTTCCGCCTTAGCGCAATGTCAAAACATTTTCATAAACGAAAGATACTTCGTGCATTCTAAGACGATGCAAACAAAGCTTCGATCCTACCATGCGCGGGTAGTAAGTAACATTTTCCGCTTAAATGCAGCGAGAACATAAATCTGTGAGACTCCAGATTATGTTGTTCATTCTAATGCTATGCAAATGTTCACTTCTCCATGTTTGGGTAGCAAGCAATGTTTTCCGTTTGAATGCGACTAAATACCTTTCGCTAAAATCGACCAACCAATAAACATTTGCTACCTAAAATTACATAATTTTGAATTCCTCATTACAATAGAGAATACGTAGGAGTGAGATTCAACGTTTCATCGAACACCCTAATGAAAAAACTAAAAAATTTCTCATTTCTTTCCATTTGTACACAACATAATAATTAGAATAAAATAAATAACATACGCTAACACTTTATTCAAAAAACTAACTAAACGGTTCTCGTTGAGTACAATGGATGTGAGGGGTGTTAATATATTCCCCTCGCGTAATCGACTCCCGAACCAGAATTTGATTGTGACGATCATATTTTACTCTTTTATAGATTTATCTATATTTTTCCTTTTTTCTTAATAAATAAACTTCGGTGACGACTCTGCTATATTTCGAGTGTTCGTTACGCTAAAATATTTTTCGCGCTGCAACACCCCCTTTCCATTGAGATCCAAAGTACTCGCATCTATTATATTCATTTGACTTCTTTAAATGAGCTTCACTTAACTTTTAACAGTATTTTACATAGTGTTTTTTTAATTCTAACTCATAGATCAGAAAATTGCGCGTGGAACGGGATCGTGAAAGAGAGGACGACCATTGAAAACAGTCTCTCTCTCTCTCTCTCTTTCTCCAACGGTTACGGCCGAGCTTACGGTGGAGAAGGCAACAGAGAGAGAGCTGTGGAAGGAGAATCAAGTGGTGTGGTAAAGAGTAACGAAGAGGTGAAGGATCAGAGAAATGAAGAGGAACAACCGGAAGTAGGGTTTAGTCTAAACCCTAAAAAGGGGGAGAAATCGGAGTTCAAGATAACACCGATGAATCCAAGCTTTGGGTGGATGTGATTCCAGGAAATCTGAAAACAATAAACGGAAAAGCGATCAAGTATGTAGCACCGAAAATTGTGGATGGAATTGGTGAAGTTGAACTCGTTGAAGATGAAGTTGAGCCTGGAATTAGGTTTTGGGACACTTGTCTCATCATGTATGCTATTGGGGGAAATCTCAGTATGAATAATGTGAAGATCTACATGACGAGAGTGGAATTTTGTGAAATTGTCGGAGATGTTCTATAACGATGAAGGTTATTTCATCTTGAAATTCAAGACGAAGAAAGATCGTGATGAGGTGCTGCAGAAAGGTCCTTATACCATTCGTAATATGCCTATAGTGATTATGGAGTGAAGACCAGAATTTTCCATGGACAGAGATATATGCTGCAAGTTGTGCCAATTTGGGTGAAACTTCCCCAATTTCCATTACACGTGTGGGGGGAAGGAAGCTTGGGAAGGATTGGAATCCTTATAGGGACACCATTGTTTACGGATGAATGTACAGCTGAAAAGTTGAGGGTGACATATGCACGAATTTTGGTGGAAATTGATGTCACTCAAAGGCTTAAGGAAGAAGTGGTGATCAACTATGAAGGAGGGAAAAGGAAATAAAAGGTGGAATATGAATGGCAACCTCAATATTGTGAGAAGTGTCAAAAAGTTGGACATGTGTGTAGTAAGGAGAAAAAACCTATTGTGAAGATGTGGAAACCAAAACCAGATACAGAAAAAGGGGAGCCAAGCCAAGTGAACAATATGGTAGATAAGCCAAATGAGTTAGAGGAGGACAAGCCTACAAGCCCTATTATGATAAGAGCTCCTATGGCAGATGATGATGACTGGACAGAAGTGCTGAAAGGGAGTAGAGATAGAGGTAAAAACCCTAAATATGAGGAAACTTTGAAATACATTTTTAGTGCGGATGGATTTAGCACCTTAGGGGATTGGAATGACCCCAAGGTGAACCCATTATGGGATACGTGATTATATCATAGAATGTGAGGGGGCTCAATAAAGTAGCCAAAAAAAGAGATAAGCTCATGTCTCTTTAGGCTACAACTAAAGATAGCAATCCTTCTTGAAACAAGGGTTAAGAGAGAAAAAGATGGCAATTGTATTGATAGTATGGGTGGAAATCGGAGTAGCATTGACAACTATAGTAAGCATGATAATGGAAGGATTTAGTTTATGTGAGACAATAACTGAGTTAAAATTCAGGAAGTTTCAAAAACTGATCAACTTGTGAATTATGGTATGTATACTAGAGATAGGACTTTGGTGCATTGGATCACTGCTGTTTATGCATCAAACATGAATGATAAAAGAAAATAATTATGGAGAGATATTGGAAATATTGGGAAAAGTAATCAGGGCCCTTGGATAGTGATGAGGGATTTTAATAATGTTCTAGGAATGCAAGATAGAATTGGTGGTCAAGAGGTTAGAGAGAATGAGTTCATAGACCTTAGGGATATGATGACTGATACAGGTCTCTTTGAAATTGAAAGAAAGGGGGAAAGGTATACCTGGTATAACAAGCATACTGAAGGAGCTATTTACTCTTGCATTGACAGGGTTATTGGTAATATTGAGTGGATATAGCAAAACAATGATAAATCTATGTATATGCTGGAACCTGGTGTATTTGACCATGCTCTGGTGTGTATTAAAGGGGAAGATAACAGTACTAGACCCAAATTTGGGTTTAAGTTCATAAATGCAGTCACTAAAATAGATGGCTACCATGAGGCAGTGGATAAGAGCTGGCATGAGAGGATGAAAGGGGATGATAATCAGCATTTATGGAATAAGCTTCAGAGATTGAAGCCCGTAATGAGAGGTCTACACAGACCTCTTACAAATATAAAGATCCAGATTGATACTAAGAGGAATAAGTTGACTGGTATCCAGGGCTAGTTGAGACTTGATAAATTGAATGCTAATCTGATCAGACAAAAAAAGAGATGTACTGAGGAGCTTTTGAACCTTAGGGAGCTGGAGGAGCGTATCTTAAGGAAAAGATCTAAAATTGACTGGATTAGAATGGGAGATGGGAATAACTCTTTTTTCCATGCTACCATTAAAAGCAAACATAAGCCCGCGGGTATTCAGAGTCTGATAAGAGATGATGGTGGTATATTCAGCACCCAAGATGACATTGAGAAGGAAGTTATGGATTTTTATACTGGATTGATGGGGACTGCTGAAAATAACTTGCAGGGAATTGATGTTTAGACCATGAGGAAAGGCAAGCAACTCAATAGAAATCAAAGAATTATGCTGAGCAGTCTTGTGTGTGATGAAGAGACTATTAAAGTCCTCAAGAGCATAGGTGATCTTAAGGCACTAGGGATTGATGGATATGGCTCTAAGTTTTTCAAGCACTCTTGGAAAATGGTGGAGGAGGATGTGATGAAGACTGTTAAAGGTTTCTTTGAGAGAGGGGAGTTGGACTATAGGTTCAATAAGACCCTGGTCACCTTGATCCCTAAGCATGATAAATCATCCAATATTAAAGAGTATAGACTTATCTCCAGCCGTACCACAATGTACAATATCATTTCAAAAGTCATGTCCAATAGAATTAACAAAGTGTTAGGTAGCATCATTAGCAAAAACCAGGCTGCATTTGTTCCTGGCCAGAAAATACATGATCATGTGTTAATTGATTATGAATTGGTCAGAGGGTATAGAAAAAAAATGGGGTATGCCTAGGTGTGTGGCTCAAATGGATATTATAAAATCCTATGATTCTATTAATTGGAGTGATATGCAAACCATCATGGCAAAAATAGGCTTTCCTAAGAGATTTATTAGGTGGATTATGCAAGCTGTTACAATTGTCTCTTATCAATTCAGTATAAATGGGCAAAGGACTAGGAGCTTGAAAGCAGCTAGGGGTCTGAGGCAATGGGACCCTATATCCCCCTTGCTCTTTGTGGTGTTCATGGAATATCTTCATAGGAAGATGGAGGACTTAAACAAGATCCTTGATTTTAATTTCCATAACAAGTGTGAGAAGTTGAGTTTGGTGGATATAAGTTTTGCAGATGACTTACTTATGTTCTGCATAGGGGGGATAGTCAATTTCTTCAGATGATGATGGATAGATTCAAGGAGTTCTCAATGTCTACTGGATTATGTGTCAACCCTGCTAAATGTAACCTTTATTGTGGTGGTATGCAGGAGGATGAGAAGCACAAGTTAGAAGGGATAACTGGTTTCTACAGAGGTAAGTTATCTTTTAAATACCCGGGGATTCCTCTGACTAGTAGGAAGTTATCCAATAATCAATGCATGGCTTGGTGGAGAAAATAGGTAAACGAATTAGTCACTGGAGTGCTCACCTGCTGAGCTATGTAGGGAGAGTTCAATTAATCAAGAGTGTTGTGTTTGGCACGACTAGTTATTGGATGAGATGCATCTCTTTACCAAAAGGGGTCATTAGAGAATTGGAGGCCAGATGTAGATCTTTTATGTGGTCTGCTAGTAATGGTAAAACCATAAAGTCTCCTATAGCTTAGGGTAGGGTGTGTATGCCTAATAAGTATGGCGGTCTGGACATTGTTAACTTGGAAGCTTGGAATAAAGCGTGCCTCACTAAGCTGCTTTGGAATATCTGTAACAAGGAGGACTGTCTTTGGGTTAAATGGGTTCACATGTATTATGTGAAAAAGGAGGACATTATGCAGACGGAGAAGAATAATAATGGTTCTTAGATTTTGAAAATTATTATGAATCAAAGAGACCTTGTGAAGGATATGAGGCAATGGAAGGAGCTAAGGGAAACTGGAAATTTCAAGATGAAGGAATTTTATCAGGGTTTTCTGAAGCACAAGCAGCAAGTGGATTGGAGAGACCTTATGTACAAAAATGATGTCAGACCTAGGGCGGTTTTCACAATGTGGCAAGCTTGCCATAAAAGACTATTGACTAAGGATAGGCTTCAAAAAATTGGGATTCAAACTGACCTTGGATGTATTTTCTAAGATTGTGCTGAGAATATTCAACATATCCTTTTTAATTGCAGGATGACTAAAGAGATTTGGAAGAGTGTGCTAAATTGGATGAACATTGGGCATAATGTGATGGATTGGGATCATGAGTTGAGTTGGGCTACAAAGTTGTGCAAGAGGAAAACTTGGAGAAGTAAAGTCCTAAAGATAGCCATAGCAGAAACAGTGTATGATGTGTGGGGGTATATGAATGATTTGGTATACAACAATGGTGATAGGGATATGTATAATGCAAATAGAATAATAGAAATAATTTTAAATAGGATGTGGATGCACCCAAAACATAGGGATGGAATAGCTAAACTGATTTTGGCTTACTGTTTTAGTTTTGAGTTTTGGTTGTTTTTTTTTCTGCTGGACCCTAAGTGTCGCATTGTGTATAATCAATTTTTGGATGTATATAAAATCTTTATTTCCAAAAAAAAACAGTATTTTACATATTTTAGTTATTTAAACTCATTAAAATAATCAATCAGAAGAAAATTTAATATATAAAATATTATTTAAACAAAGCAACTACAATTTTTAAATATTCATACAATTTATTAAAAAATAAGTGATCTCATTAAACATCATATATATCTTTTAATCCAAATGTTTTTTAGTAGATGAACAATTGAAAGTTAAAGATCATTGATTTGAATCTTCTTATGTTCTTTTGGTTCAACTCTCTCATTTTCGTAATCTAATAGTTGGTTGTCTTTAGGGTTGGAAATGAGTCGATTCGAACTCGTCTCAATTCGGCTCAACTCGTTAAGAATTGGTTCAACTCAAATATCAGTTCGAGTTCATCGCGAACTTTTTTTTAACTCAAACTCGATTCGTTAGAAATTCACGAACAATTTAGTTCAACTTGTTAGATTCATTTTGTTAGGTTCAAAGACTTAAAAGTCATTTTTTAAAGTTATTTTTTATATATATTTGATATTTTAAATTAATATCTTTAAAAATAAAAAATATAGAAATAAAAAAAAAGATTATGAGATTGAAATTTATATGATGCTGATTTTATTTGTAAATTAGTTTTAAAAATATTTTGCTCACTTGAAAAATAAATTAATTAAAATCATTAAATTAAAAGAAAATATCGAGTTAAGATTTGAAACAAATCTTTAAACCTACTCTTAAAGACAATATAATTCATCTCATATATAATTGAGTTGACTAATAAATCTAACAAGTCGAACTATGTATAATTCAAGTTAAACTCATTTAGTTAATAAATTTAATTTTTTCTCATATTCAACTCATTTGATTCATAAACGTAATTCAACGATTTAACTGTCGAATAAAATTTCGAACTATTTTGAGTTGATTCGGTTCATTGTCAGCCCTGGTTATCTTTAAAAAAAATAATAGTACAAGGAAGAGAGTTTATTTGAATCTTCTCGTACTTTTTTGATCCAACTCTCTCGTTTTTCTAATCTAATGGTTGGTACACAGAAAAAAGCAATAGTACAAATAAGAGAGAAAAAAATGAATTAAAGATTGATATTAGAGCATGACATAAACATGAGAAAAGACATGAAAGCATCCAAATCCATAAAATACCAAACATTCGTCGTAGTCTGACAAAGTTATCTTGGGGCAGGTGGTAATAAAACACCAATGTGAATATGCTCTAAGTACATGATTGGAATTGCTCTTTGATTATCGTACTTCGGGGCAATTTCAATTAATAATAGAAACTCACCACACAAACGAACAGGCTGTAAGATGAAACATATGGAATCTTTGTTTCTTGTCAATACAGCCATATTAGGCTAACTACATTAACAAGTACACGAGGTATATACTCAAAAGAACAGCACGTGAAGAAGAAAAACAACAAAAACAAGGAGTGAAAAATTCTGCAATTCTCTGCAGTAGTTAAATCTCGACCCATAAACTCTATTTTTACTGTTAAATAAATACACACCCTCTCACTTTCAATCAGTAATAAACTTGGTGCTAATTTGACATCAAAGTAACAAAGTTCTTGATAGAGTATTGGACCAAACTATTTTGTATCAGCTATGCATGAAAATAAACAAAATAACAATTACGCTTTTCTTTATGTACAGAATGAATAGAAGAGAAATAGAGACCAAAGAGTTCTATGAGTATATTAATCAAATTAGATATTATAATCCATCTAGAAAGGTTAAAAATAAGATCCAAGGCTCACACAAATAATGAAACCCCAGAAAAAAATTTCCCAATTCACCATCTCTTTTTGATGATGGGATATAAATGATGATCTCAAGGAACTGAATTTAGAAAAATCTAGACCTACATTATTAACTTATCAGCTGATATTTCCACTTTCTTGATTCCATTTCCTATGTCCTTTTCAGTGGAAAATGAAGGAACGCCGGAAAATAGAGTACCGGCATCTTCATGGGGAATAGCAGCATTATTTGCACTAACGTATCCATTGCCATAATATGCATCCTCTTTGGCTGTTAGCAGCTTGCATTTAAATGCGTCGAGGTGTTCTGAATCTTCCTCCACATTTCTATAATCAATTGAAACAGAAGAATGCTTATCCAAGAAAGAAAAATCGTTAGGTAAACCTGAAGAAGGACAAGACCCGGCCACACCAATACCATCATCTTGATTTTGAGCATAGCCTGAAATCTCTTCTATAGGTCTTCCCATATCTACATCAATCAAATTGTCCACAGCATGAGAAATGGGCAAATAAGATGATTCAACAGCATTACTAGAAATATTGTTCGCAATATCAGTAGATTCAACGTCAATCATGCTTGTGTCCTCGGACTGCTCTCTTTTAGCTTCTGAGTTCAATTCAACGGAAGACTCGTATTCGTAGCTGGAAGAAACCTTCAACTCTGGACTAATATCAGATGGTGAAACCTCACAATCACTACTGCAAGTCAAAGCCTTTGTATTTGAGAGGCACTCAGCTTGTTCAGTTTGGTCAGGTTCCAATTCCACTTCCACTGTTCGCTCTTCTGCTGTCCCTGAAGATTCTGTAGTTTGAATTTGAAGGCATGATGATGGTCGAGCATTACACCTGTCCAGGATAAAAAACAAGCATTACTTGCCGCTTCACTTGGAATAATCGGCACATGTTACTGTAAAAAGTTAAATGTGTGATGCATCTTCCCCAACTTCAATTATTATCATAATCATTCTTTTATCAAACATCAGATAATGCTAGGCTTAGGTGATTCAAATAACTAGAGATCTCAAAGGTTGAAACTAACTTTTAAGTTTCCAGGTTTAAGATCTCAATCAGAGATCAGAATTCAGAGCAAATGCAGTACACTATGGAATGCAAAAGCAAACACGCTATCTTAAAGTATCTGATTAAATTAGTTAAAAGTTTAGAAAAACTGAATATCACCTACGCAAAGGGTTACACATGTATCTTAAAGTATCTGATTAAATTAGTTAAAAGTTTAGAAAAACTGAATATCACCAAACCCAAACCCAAACCTATTATTCTTTTGCCTTAGGATTACAAATATTTTTTTTCTCACTTAAGATTTCAGCTTAATCTTTTCAAATCTCTCCGAACGGTATTGTGCCTTCTTCTCTTTTTTTCATGTACATCTCGCCTCTTCATCTCTAGTCTCTCATCTCTTATGTTCTTTCTTTTTCATCTTTTTATTTTTATTCTACTGTTATCTCTTCCAATTATGTTTTTAATGAACCTCTTCTCTAATATATTCTCTCTTTTGCGATTTCTTT